TTGTTTGTTTGTTTTAATTCATATGTAAGTGATATTATGCAGTATTTGTCTATATCTGGCTTATTTCACTTAATGCCATCAGCATCCATCCATGTCACAAATGATAAGATTTCATTCTCTTTTATGGCTAATACTCCACTGTATACTATGTATATATACACACACCATATTTTCTTTATCCGTTCATCCATCAGTGGACACTTAGGTTGTTTCCATGTCATGACTATAGTAAATAATGCTGCAGTGAACATAAGATTGTATCTTTTTGAGTTAGTATTTTCATTTTATTTGGATAAATACCCAGAAGTGGAACTGTTGGATCATATGATAGTTCTATTTTTAATTTTTTGAGGAACCTTCCTACTGTCTTCTATAGTGGCTGCACTGATTTACATTCCTACCAATATTACACAAGAATTCTCTTTTCTCCACATCCTTGCCAACACTGTTAGTTTTTGTCTTTTTGACAACATTCTAACAGGTATGAGGTTTTTGTCTTTTTGACAAAATTCTAACAGGTATGAGGTGGTATTTCAATGTGGTTTTGATTTGTATTTCCCTGATGATTAGTGATGTTGAACGTCTTTTTCTCTACCTGTCGGTTATCTATATATCTTTGGAAAAATATGTCTATATGTTTAGACATATTTACATATTCTGCCCAATTTTTAATTGGATTGTTTGCTTTTTTGCTATTGGAGGGGTTCATTATATATCTTGGATATTAACCCCTTATCAGATACATGATTTGCATATATTTTCTCCCATTCAGTAGTTTGCCTTTTCATTCTGTTAATGATTTCCTTTGCTGTGCAGAAGCTCTTTAAGTTCAATTATAGCCCCACTTACTTATTTTGCTTTTGTTGCCTTGTTGCCTTTGCTTTTGGTATCACATCCAAAAAAATCCTTGCTAAGACTCCTGTCAGGGAGCCTACTGCCTGTGTTTTCTTCTAGAACTTTTATGGTGTAGGGTCTTACATTCAAGTCTTTAATCCATTTTGATTTAATTTTTGTATATAGTGCAAGAAAGTGGTCCAGTTTCATTTTTCTGCTTGTTGCTGTCCAGTTTTCCCAACACCATTTATTGAAGAGACTTTATCTTATTTAATTAAAGATCTAAGTAATGAAGTAAATAATAAATTTTAGATGGGAAGAATCCTGATAGGTTAAATCATGGATCATATGAAACAGCATCTTTTCTTTTTTCTTTTTGAAACTTGAAAGTCAATAGCAGGGTGAGAGGACTCAAAACCATTTATTTGTCATTAGGGAAATGCAAATCAAAACCACAGTGAGATACCACTGCATACCCACCAAGATGGCTATAATTTAAAAGAGACAATAACAAATGTTGGTGATGAAGTGGATAAATTGGAACCCTCATGTACTACTGGTAAGAATATAAAATGGTGTAGTTACTTGGAAAATGGTATGGCAGTTTCTCAGAAGGCTAAATATAGAGTTATCATATGATCTATCAATTCTACTTATAAGTATATACTCAAGAAAACTGAAAATCTATATCCACACAAAAACTTGTACTTGCATGTTCATAGCAGCATTATTCATAATTGCCAAAAGTGGAAATAATCCCAAATATCCAACAGCTGGTGAGTGAATAAACAAAATGTGGTACTCTGATTTCATTATTTCATTTTATTATTCAACAATGAAAGGTAATGAAGTACTAACAAATGCTACAACATGGATGAACTTTAAAGACATACTAAGTGAAAGAAATCTATCACAAAAGGCCACATATTATGTGATCCCATTTATAAGAAATGTCCAGAATAGGCAAATCCATATAGAGGCAGAAAGTAGATTAGCGGCTGCCAGAGACTGGGAAGAGTGGAGAACGGAGGGTGACCACTAATGGATATGGAGTTTCTTAGGATGATGAAAAGGTTCTGTAATTAAATAGTGCTGATTGTGTACTCTTGTGAACATACTAAAATCCACTGGATAGCATACTTATGAAAAGAAGAAAAAGGAATTAGGTGGTTTCCTGAAGTCACTGCTTCTCCAGCAGCCCTCTCAAGTAGAGATTGTTTTTATTTCACATCTCACTTACCTTATAGCTAAAAACTCCCTGTAGCTATATCCAGATCATTTCTTCTCTTACAGAGCCCTGACCTTTTGAGGCTCCTGTTTTTTGGATATACCATCCTGTTCCTTGCTCACTGCTATCATCTCTGGACATCCTAGTGACTCCCCATCATTCCTTGAGGATATTAGGCTCTGGATAACTTCCACCTACTTCTGATTAATAATTTCTTCCTCCCTTCTGACCATTTCCTTAATTGCACTTTAGCTACCCATTCCTATATCCCATATACTGTGGTTTTATTGATTAAAGGAAGCTAAGTTTTCAGAAGTACAGAGTACTTATTTAGATTATAGAAGTTCAGTAATGGTTATAGTAGTCCTGATGACAGAGGATATTAGATCCTGTTTTGTTAAACAATACCATGAGTCTTCCCTCTCCTTGTAATCCTTTTGAAGAAAATATAATAGGCTTCAGAACTTAGAGTGAAAGCTATACTAAAAAGTTATTGGAAGTCTGGAATACATATGTTTACTTATTTTAGCATGTTTGTGTATTACATTATTTTTTCTTTTAGAAATTAAAATGTTTGTAAAGCTATTGAACAGGTGTCTAAAAACTGTAAATCGTGATTTATTTTATTTTATTTTTTTAGCAGAAACAAACCGCTTTTGAGCAACCTGCCTTTTCAGTTTCAAAGCAGTCACCACCAATATCAGCACCTAAATGGATTGACCCAAAATCTGTTTGTAAGACACCCAGTAGCAGTGCCTTGGATGATTACATGAGCTGGTAATTACTTTTGGCATTCTAGTTTGGCACAGTGGAAATAACATGGGCTTTGGGGTTAAATAGATCTGAAGTTGAATCCTGCTCTGTTACTTTAAAGAGTTTCCAAATTTATATTATTTTTCTGAGCATCAGTTATTTCACCTGTGAAAGGGGAGGGGAAGGTGGCTACAATACATTTTTAAGGATTGTTTTGAAAGTCTCTGTCCTATTGTAATTTGTACCTACAATCTATAAATACTCTAAATATGTAAAACTTCTTGGTAATTACACATTGCTATATGGATATCTTTGTGTAACTGAGAGAGGTATTTTAAAGGTTAGCATTCTTATACATGATAAAGGGTAGCTACATTTTATAGCAAAGGAGGGTTTTTAATTGGAATGTGATAGTTTCTGAAAGAAGTTGGTTGTATAGGTAACATAGTTCTGGGAGTGTTCAAAGGTAAAAGACTTGAGTGTATGGGAATGAGGGATGAGTAAAGAAATTGGATGGTCATTGCTGATTGATAGGAAACACAGGGATATTGCAAAAGCAAATTAATGACATTTCAAAGAAAGAAAATAAAGGAATGTGGCATATCATATCATCCAACTAGTAGCTATGTTTTTAATGTCTTAGAGGATAACTTAAGTCCATGATGCCTTTTGTTTTTAATTTTCATAATGTAATCTTTGATTTTAATTAGAACTGGCCTTAGAAGTTTTATAACCTGGGCTCTTACCAATTTAATATAGTTTTGCTATATATTACTTCATTTTATTATATGTGAATATTTTAATTTTTTTTTAAGTTTATTTATTTATTTTGAGAGAGAGAGAGCAGGGGAGGAACAGAGAAAAGGAGAGAGAGGGGATCCCAAGCAGGCTCTCTACAGAGCCTGATGTGGGGCTTGAACTCATGAACTGCGAGATCATGACCTGAGCTGAAGCCAAGAATTGGGTGCTTGACCTATTGTGCCACCTAGACACCCCATATGTGGAATATTTTAAAGAAAGTTGATAACTAGAATAGTGATATAGTTATTTTTTGTGAAGTTAGGTTGTATATTGTCAACAAGTATTTGAACTCCTTTGTGCCAAGCACTCTTCTAGGTGTTGAGGATGTGATAGTGAATAAGATAAGCAAAACACAAATGTGAACTCAACAGCTTTAATCTCAAAAGTCCAAACTCCTGTAATGTAATTGGCTTTCTGATATTTCTAGCATGCTGTTGTAGAGCGCTATTGTTAAAAAGCACTCGTATGCCATAGGCTGACCTTTGCATTGGCTAAATTCTTCTAAAATAACCCCAACTTCACTTTTAAATGCCATCTTTTTAATTTTACTAGTAAGGATTTCTTGTCTAGGGACAAAAAATTACTTTCAGAAAGAATTTCCTCAAAATGAAATTTCTGGTGATAGTATATCTAGAATAAATAACTTAGCTATATTATGAAAACTGATGTGGATTGTTTGATGTAATACATTTAAGTTTATATGCATCTTTTAAAATCACACAAACATTGAGTCAGAATCTTGTTTCTACATTTTTCCTGTTTTATTTATTTATTTAAAAAAAAAATTTTTTTTTTTCAACGTTTATTTATTTTTGGGACAGAGAGAGACAGAGCATGAACGGGGGAGGGGCAGAGAGAGAGGGAGACACAGAATCGGAAACAGGCTCCAGGCTCTGAGCCATCAGCCCAGAGCCCGACGCGGGGCTCGAACCCATGGACCGCGAGATCGTGACCTGGCTGAAGTCGGACGCTTAACCGACTGCGCCACCCAGGCGCCCCTACATTTTTCATGTTTTAAATGAAAACCATTTCTTTCCTAGTTTTAGAACTCCAGTTGTAAAGAATGACTTTCCACCTGCTTGTCAGTTGTCAACACCTTATAGCCAACTCGCCTGTTTCCAGCAGCAGCAACAGCAAATACCTGTTACTCCACTTCAAACTTTACAGGTTTGATAAATTTTATTTATGATGGTATATGTTTAAGGTATGATCCAAAGATTTTATTTTCATAGCATCTAGTTGTTAGGAAAGGCCTTAAGAACTTGTCCATTCTTAGGCAAAACTCTTAATAGGGAAAACCTATTAAGGGTGCCTTGTGACTTTGAGAGGTTAGTTATTGAAGAAGCTAATGAAGCTTTTTCATGAACTAGGCCAAAAGATCCAGTTTGAAGAGCTAGGCAAAAGTTGTCTTGTAATTTAGGTAACTTTTTATTCTGTTTCACTACTTAAGCCTACTATTAACTGTGCAGCCTCATTTCACTGGCTGATTAATATGCAGTTAAGTTTTCAAGAATATCAGAATAGCAATATAAGATGCTAATAAAATATAAAGTAATTATAAAAATAGGAAAATTTTTGCTGGTGAGGCAATTGTATTGTCATCTGGAGAAAAAATACTCCTGATATCAATACTATTAAAATTAGTTTCTAATAACGATCTGAGTGGCCACTAAATACTGGTGGAAAGCATGAACTTTGAAGAGAGGTTTTCTGGCCATGAATCTTGGCCTCACTACTTACCAACTGTGTGACCTTTTGTAAGTTACTTAAATTTTCTGTGGCCATTTCATCATCTATAAGGTGGGGATAATAAAGATACCTACCATAGAGGATAATTGTGAAGATTAAATTAGTTAACATATATGGAACTTGTACAGCAGAGCCTGCTACTTAGTAGAGAAAAGATAGCAGCAATTGTTATTTAAATAAAACAGCAACACACACACACACACACACACACACAAACAGGTAATTAGCTATTACATATTGAGAGGTTAAAAAAAAAATTAGCTAACAAAAAGTGGAACAATGGTCACCAGTGTCTAGAGGGAGGGAGGAATGAGGAGTTACTGTTTAATGGGTGTAGAGTAAAATGCAAATTTTTGTTATGTGTATTTTGCAATTAATAAAGAACAAAAAAAAGCTGACAATAGATTATCCTATGGAAAGAGAAATAGTATTTTGAAGATTGAAGCAGAATAATAAATTACTAAGGAGAAAAAGATGATCAGGTTTGTCCATACATTGATTCAAAACATTTGTTGAACTCTTCCTCATGTCAGACCCTGTTTGAGTTGATATCTAGAAGTCAAGTCATGACCACATGAATGGGCCAGGAGCCTTCTAGAAAAGGCCAGTGTCAGGAGGAAACTAAAAAGAGTCCAAGAGGGATGAGGTAATCCTTAGGGTTCCTCTGGGCCCTTTGAACTTTACCCCAAGAGGGATAAGAAGCTGTGTAACAGGTTGGAGCAGGAAAGTGAAGTGATCTTATTTGCATTTTGAAATAAATTACTCTGGCCACAGTGAGGAGGATGGGCTAAGGGGGATGTGGAATGTCCTATGTAGGAAACTGAACTTCACACTAGTATTGAGTCAGAAATAAGTCAGAATTACTTACTCTAACAACTGTCAGCAGTTAGGGGGCAAAAACATTGAACTGCTTTCTTCCCTCTCAGAAGTTTTCAGTTTAAGTGCGAGAAGATGCTCCAAAAGGAAGAGGGGTGGGAGTAGGTAGTGAAAAGCCTTTCTGAAATTATAACTGAATGAAAAATAACAGGTACATATTTCAAAGCCTAATACTTTCTTACAGAAAACATATTTCATGACTCAATAGTGTTTTTTAACCCCTGAGGTTAAAAGGTAAAGAAAGAGATTACATGAGAGAGTTCTACCATTTGGGATTTAAAGCAGGACTTGGTTAAATTGAGGTTTATTCAGACAGACCCGTTTCAACTTAGTAAATCAGCTAATCAGATGTGCTTTGTGTCTTCAGCTTTCTTGTCAGCTTGGAATGGGTCCTCTCACTGCACTCCATCTGTGCAAAGCATTTATAGATCCTCTGAGAGCTCTGGCATAAGGGAAGGGAAATGGGGTCTGTTGCAATAGTACATCAGCTACAAGTTTGCCAAGATAGATGCTGAAGTTCAAATTAACTAACTTGTTGAACATCACTCAGCAGAAAGGGGGCATTGCTGAAATTTGCATTTGTCTGATTGACTCTGGAGCTAGCATACTGCTTCCCTTATAATGTAGTGCTAAATGAGGAAAAAGAATTTAGATATAATTATTTATGCATGTATGTAAGTGAAGAGGGATATATAAGAAAAAAGAATAAGGTGAAAAGTAATAGCTTGTGAGTTTGTGTATTGGCATTAAGTGTTTTCTCCCCTCAATCTTCTATTTATTTATGTTAAGAAGTAAAGGTGAACATTGTATGTCAACTATACTTAAATTAAAAAATTTTTTTTTAAATTAAGTAAAGGCAAGTTAGAGGGAGACCTTGGAAGTCTATCTATATATTAATAAGTTTATTAATTTGACTAAAATATGTAAACTTCCTCTTTGAAATATTGTGACTAATATCTAATTACTTGAAATTTAAGATAATTTAAAAATTGGAAGCATTTCACTGTACTAAATGCAAGCTAGTTTCTCAGGCATATTCTTTGCACCTTTGAATCTTTATATATTTTAATTATTTAGATTTCAGCATCCTCTTCAACAAATGAATGCATTTCAGTTAAAGGAAGAATTTATTCCATATTGAAGCAGATAGGAAGTGGAGGCTCAAGTAAGGTAAGTATCTTAAATATTTAAGAAAGAAAAATATTTTCAGCTTTCCTTTCTTTGTCTTTTTACCCCTTGGGGCTCTTTTTTCTTAACATCTAGGGACCCATATTGCTTTTGAGCCAAAAATATCCTTATCCCCTGCTCCCATTCCCTCTTTCCAACAAATGACATATCTCTTTAGACCTATCTCCTAATTCTAATTCTCTGTTCTTCCCTCTGATGTCCTATGCTTCTAGATTTCTTCTCTAAATGACATTAACATGGATTTGGGGTGGCAAATGAAGCTATGTTTTATCATAAAAGAATCTTTCTAAACATCAGGTAGGGCATGTTGTAAATAATATTTTAGGATGATTCAGCAAGATATGATTAATATTTTGAGTTTTTTGAGTTTTTCATTTCAAAACAGTTTAGTAATGAGAGTTTCTGGAATTAGACTAGATCATTTTCTAAATGTATTTGAGCTCTAAATTTACATGGTTCTGCTTTTCTGGGTGGAAGGCATCTCAAAAGATCTGTCTAAACTTACCATCTTTAGTTCTTCTCATTCGGTTCTCTTAAATCCACTTCAGTCAGATTTTTACCTTTATCACTTAGCAAACAATTGCTATCAAGATCACCAGTGATCTCAATGTTTTTATTAAATCTAATTCTTTGCTTTAATTTGGGTTACTTAGCATTTGGGAGAGTTGATTGTTCTTTTCTTATTGGAACTTTTTTTTTATTCCCACTTGGCCTCCCTCAGTTTTCCTCTTCTCCAATTGGCCATTCCTTTTAAGTGTTCTTGTCCCCCATCCTAATGGTGCAGTGCCCCAGGGTTTAGTCCTTGACCTCTTTTCTTCTCTTTCTAAACTCACTTCACTCCTTTGGTGTTGTCCAGACTCATGGTTTTAGATACCATGTATATGCTGACAGTTCTTAAACATCTTTCTAGCTTAGACCTCCCACTTGAATTCCAGACTTGTATATCCAGTCTCATTGCTCACTATCTCTCCTTGGGTGTCTACTAGATATTTAAAACTTAATATGTCCCAAACATAACTCTGGCTCCATAGTCTTTCCCAGTTCAGTAAATGGCAACTTCATTCTTCCACTAACTAGGCCAAAAACTCTGAAATCATAATTGACCTCACTTTCTCTCACACATACACCCAGTCAGTTGGTAAATCTTGTTGGTTCTACCTCAGAGCATATCTAACATTTGCCTATTTCTCACCACCTCCACTACTATCATTTTGTTCAAAACAACTGCCATCTTTTCACCTGGATTATTATAATAGCCGTATCCCTAGTTTCATTGATTTAATCCTTGCTTTCCTGGTGTATTTTAACATAAGAGTCCGTTTTCCTCTAGATCTCCTCATGTCTTTGCTCAAATATCTTCTCAATCAGGCCTTCCTTGGCCATACTCTTTAGTACCACAACTCTTAACCTTCTAGTCACTGGTGAGCTCCATTTCCTTCTTTATTTTTCTCTGTAGCCCATCCTCTGTGCTTTGTAATTTACTTATTTGGTTTGTTGTTTGTGTCTTCCTGAACTTGAATATAGTTGCATCAAGATAGGGATGTTTGTCTGATTTGCTCAACAGTGTTTGCTCTTTTATCTAGAATACTACCTAGAACATGACAGAGTGAAGTTATTTGTTGAATGAATGTCCCTCCTCAACTGCTTTGCTGTTATAAGTTGTTAAGGATGATGTATGAAGCACAGCCTGTTGGGTTTAAGTTTTACTGTATTTTCTAAGCCAACTAACAATAGCTAGATTTGTTTAAGATGGTCTTGTTAACTTATTATAAAAAGGTGTGTACATTACTATGAGTAGCAGTTCAGTAATATTCATTCCTTTTTTGTATACATTTTCTTCTTTCCCTTGTCTCAGGTTTCAGGCATGGGAATAAAGGGACAATTGATTTTTATCAATATATTTGAATTATCTGATTTAGTTGCTTTAATAGAAATTCTTTTGTTAACCTTTATTACTTTAGCTATAGTTGAATAGTGTCCAGGTGAGATACTTATTTAGTGGCATGTTTTCAGAGGATGTAAAATAATCTTGACGGTGTTTTAAACATTTTTTCCTTGGAGCATAATGGAAGATGTTAGCTTAAGTGAAGGGTCAGATGATAAAGACACGACTGGCCCATATTTTTTTTAGTGTGATTATATTATCATTTTTTAATTTAATTATTATGGTGGAGTTGACAAAATCAATGTACCTCAGAGAAAGAGGGTAACATGCTTTGTGAAACTAACCATTTATGCTCTATTCTAGAGTTTAGGCAGTGGCCAACTTATACAGTATTAAGAACATTTAGGAAGGTCATGGAGGCTAATAGGAATAGTCATGATACTAGCCTGTCTAGTTCTTTCACCAACTTCCCATGAAACTGAAAATTATAACTCTGATACTATCTCTATGAGATGGAAGTAGAGGCTATCTAATCATCAGTTATTGCAAGAATTTTGCCAGAAGAGGGGCAGTAGGGGAGTAAAAGCACATACGTGCAAAAAGTTGATTGAAAAGTTTTTATTTCCTTCAAAACTTTGAGATCTTATTATATAGTTTTAATATCTTGCAAATCTCTTTTTCTGATATACCCAACAACTTTAATAGGTTTTAAAATGTCCACTTCATTCTGTCCTAATTGTCCTTAATGATGGTAGCTAACTTTGCTACATTCCAGACACATCCATCTTTGTCATCCTTCCAACCCTGTGTGGTAGGAACTACTAACAACATTTTAATTCTACTAGAGTGGTAGGTACTCTCAATTCTCTGAGGTTTAGAAGGCTGTTTACCATATACAAAGTGGCTTTACACTGTTTTAAAATTCCTTTTATCATCCTTTGCTCTTTTCTGCGGTCTCTTGCCCTATCACTGTTTTAATGCCCCTCTTTGTCTAATTTGCTGTGTGTGCAAATAAAACCAGTAATACTTTGTTAGTTTTATATTTAAAATTTTAAAGTAACTACACCTGACTGCTTGATAGACTGTCCTTATTAGTACAGTTGTAAATGCATGAATCTCATATACACATTCGTTCTCTTCTTATCCTTGCCCCGACCTGGTCAAGGTTAAATGGTTTTTAAATAAATGATATTTTACTTCATTTTGTCAAAAGGGATGAATGAATGTAATTTTTCTTGCTTATAATGGCATTTGTATTTGTATACTTGCATTTTAGAAGCCTCATGCCTCTTGCATGTTTTCTGAAAGTTGGACACAGTAACAGTATTTTCTACTTTTCAAAATGTATTTATTATCTGCCCTATTGCTTAGAAGTTGACTGTCATTATAGCCAGAGCTGTTTGACCCATACCTGACAGTGGGCTTATAGGAACATCTTGTTCTTGTCAACTTGACTTTGAAAATGGGACCTAATCTGGGGCGCCTGGGTGGCTCAGTCAGTTAAGCTACAGATTCTTGATCTGAGCTCAGGTTTTGATCCCAGGGTGTGAGTTCAAACCCCACATTGTGCTCTGAGCTGGGTGTGAAGCCTACTTAAAGAAAAATTCATAAACTTTGATCTAATCTACTTTTCACAACTGAATATACAAATAGCTTATAATTATTACATATTTTAAAATACCACATGAATGAGATGCCAATTCCAGTCACAGTGGAAAAAACACCATCTGTGAAATGAATTGACTCTTTATGAAAGCCCTTAGTAGTTCTTAACATTTTATTGAATTATTTATTTATTTATTTAATTCATTTATTTATGAAAGAGAGAGCATGTGCATGAGTGCAAACAGAGAAGGGGGCAGCAGTGGTGGGAGAGAGAAAATCTTAAGCAGGCTTCACATTCCCTGCTGAGCTCCATCCCGTGACTTTGGGATCACAACCTGAGCCAAAACCAAGAGTCAGACACTCAACCAATTAAGCCACCCAGGTACCCCTCTTAACATTTTTGAATGTCTTTTGCTTTAGGTTATTTTTTTGGTCAGGGCAACCCAACAGTGTTATGAATAGATATGAAATTTAAATAATCTTTCTTATGTGTTGTTATAAAAACTTTTTATGTTTATGCCTTTGTGTTATTGAATGCCCATTGTCATAGGTAGTTGAGAATGGTCTGTTAACTCTCCTAACATATTTTTTTTCCCTTCAATACTCAAAATAAGCCCAGACACGTTTAATTATTCATATCGGTATTTCTCAACCTAAAATTCTAATAAATTTAGAGATATTGTGATAGTGTAAAAGTAGTGCATTCTAAACTTTTTCTTTTGTTCTATATAGGTATTCCAGGTATTGAATGAAAAGAAACAGATACATGCTATAAAGTATGTGAACTTAGAAGAAGCAGATAATCAAACAATCGATAGTTATCGGAATGAAATTGCTTATTTGAATAAACTACAACAACACAGTGATAAGATCATCCGACTTTATGATTAGTAAGGATTTTTTTTTAATATAAAAAGAACAGGGGCGCCTGGGTGGCTCGGTCGGTTAAGCGTCTGACTTCGGCTCAGGTCACGATCTCGCGGTCCCTGAGTTCGAGCCCCGCGTCGGGCTCTGTGCTGACAGCTCAGAGCCTGGAGCCTGTTTCAGATTCTGTGTCTCCCTCTCTCTCTGCCCCTCCCCTGTTCATGCTCTGTGTCTCTCTGTCTCAAAAATAAATAAATGTTAAAAAAAAAAATTAAAAAAAAAAAAAGAACACTATTTTTGCTATAATTCTACAGATAAAGAAGATAAATACTTAGTCTTAATAGTGTAAGCTAACCATGTATTTTTTTGTTGTTGTTTTTGTTTTTAATGGCAGTGAAATCACGGACCAGTACATTTACATGGTAATGGAATGTGGAAATATAGATCTTAATAGTTGGCTCAAAAAGAAAAAATCCATCAATCCATGGGAACGTAAAAGTTACTGGAAAAATATGTTGGAGGCAGTTTACACAATTCATCAACATGGTATTTTAAAACTCATTATATGCTGAGTTACAGTAATCATTAATAGTGTCATCTTACGATTTTTAGGTATTTGTTATTGGCACCTCTAGACTAGATAAACTAAATATTTGGACGCTCATTTAAAGATGAAGGCACAAAAAACATTTCTTTAAAACACCATTAACCAAAGGATATAGTGCATGAACTCAAGTCCCCACAGCCATAATGCATCCATAGTGCAAAATATACCCATATCTTTATTAGTATTAACATAGTCCATTATCCTGTGTCTCCAAATAGTTCAGTTATAGCAGATCTGAGACTTGGGGGTTCAGGCATCCCAAAGATCTGAGATGTTTATTGTGCTCATTATGATAGTCGTTTTGTATTGTGTCCCTTGTGTGGGAGTTGGTTTTATTCTTTTTCAATTGTTAGCCCTAGGTTGTTTTTTTTGTTACTTGGACTTGGTTCTTTTTAGGGCTTCTCTGCCTTTACCTTATCCTTTTTAAAAAATAACTGCTAACCTAGATTAATTGTAATTTTTCTCCTCATGTCTCCCTATAAGTTAAAAGATAATTCAGTGATTAAGATCAGGGCTGTAGGGATAGAGGTGTCAGGAGCATTAGGGTCTTCCATCTGACAATATAATTTATGATGTTATCTAGTGGGTGGTGAAGATCATAAACTCTGAAGCCAGAGTGCCTGGGTCAAGTCGTGGCCCTATCACTTAGGATTTATGACCTTGAGCAAATTACTTAATCTCTGTGCCTTAGTTTTTTCACTTAAAAGGATAATATTAGTATAGTAATTACCCCAGTTCTGGTGTGAGGATTAAATGATTCAAGATAAGCAGCAAATTTAGAATAGTGCTTGGTACATTGCTGGTACTATATCTTTTTAGAAAATATTAAAAATGAGGGGCTCCTGAGTGGCTCAGTTGGTTAAGTGTTTGACTCTTGGTTTCGGCTCAGGTCATGATCTCATGGTTGGTTGAGATGAGCCTTGCGTCGGGCTCTGAGCTGACAGTATGGAGCCTGCTTGGGATTCTCTTTCTGCCCCTCCCCAACTCACATGCTCTCTTCTCGCTCTCAAGATAAATAAACATTAAAAAAATATTATACATGAGCATTTACTTTGACCAAAGGAGTCAACTAGGCCAGTAGATTGTGAAATTTCTTTTTTTTTTTTTAACATTTATTGATTTTTGAGAGAGAGAGAGAACAGGAAATGGGGAGAGGCGAAGATACGAAATCGACTTCCAGGCTCTGAGCTGTCAGTACAGAGCCCGATGCAGGGCTCTAACTCATGAGCCGTGAGATCATGACATGAGCAGAAGTCGGACACTCAACCGACTGAGCCACCTAGGTAGCCCATTGTGAAATTTCTTTTATACTTAGAATGTTTTACATTGTCTGATATTACAATGGATTTTTATTTTGAAGGCATCGTTCACAGTGATCTGAAACCTGCTAACTTTCTGATAGTTGATGGAATGCTAAAACTAATTGATTTTGGGATTGCAAATCAAATGCAACCAGATACAACAAGTATTGTTAAAGACTCTCAGGTAAGACTTAACGAATGGTTGGTTACTACCCACTACAGTTCAGTTCCATTTCACCTGTAAAGTATTTTGCTAATGGGGATTTTATTTTTCCTACCTCATTCTTCAAAGGATTTGAAACCTTTGTATTAAGAATAGATACTATAAGAATAAAAACCATATTTAATACACTTTAGAGAGTCAAGATCAGGTAGAAATAAATCTGGCACTTTTAAATGACTTTCCTATAGCTGAGGTAGAGAAGCATAATGCCTGTTTTGGAAATCACCTTTGTCATGATCTTGAGTTCACCTGAAACTTTGTCTCAGAGATTCCTGGTAGCAACCAAAGAAGGAATTGCAGTTACATGTTTTTTTTTATTGTCCATGAGGTAAGATTATTTCATTCTTCTGGAGAAGTAAAGCTTTTCCTATCACTTGCATTTGAAAAAAAATTCTGAAGTGGGCCTTCATATTGGAAACAACCATAATATTGTACTCTACTGCCTTTTTCTAATAGGATATGCAGTTACAAACTTAATAAATTTGTCTCCATAAAAACTGAGGCGATAACACCAAAGAATAACTAAAAATAATCCTGCTTGAAGTCAAGATGATGTGTTCTATGTATGCAGATTTTTGGTGTGGATGTGCCATAATCCTAGAAGTAAAACTAGACTATTTTTAGGAGGAATAGATGAACAGCATGCCTTTGAAACAATTCTATTTGATAATAACTTCTCTTTGTATGAAAAATATGGCTGAACATGTAATTGTAAATCAACTTGAAGATTCCCTCTATGGCAAGGCCCTAAAGTACAGGTATTCAGTGCTTGAAAACAGAACCACTTATTTTAGACTAAAATAAATGCCTTTTAAGGTTGGCATAATCTGACTGTGAAAACTCTTGCATGATTTAGATTCCTGCCCCATCTCACTCTGGACATGGGCCCAGGGAATACTTGGAGACATAGCTAGATTTTTGATTGGTTGGTTGGTTGATTTTTTTTTTTTTAAAGCATTCTAGGCCTGTTCCAGCACAGAGAAATGAGTGATATCAATTCCTCAAGTTTATGGCCATTAATATAATTTTAGCCTCTACAGTTTTATGGTAGTTGCCCATCATAATCATAGAAAAAGCTTAGCATTCTGAAAGGAATAACTTTTCTGATTATGGACCCAATTTATTTTTCTGGAGTTGTGAAGAAACTTATGTCCTAATATCATTGTCAGTTACTTGATTTTTTAAAATATATTACTGAAATATGTAATTATTCAAGTTTCTAAGAATCTGACATTTGTGTTTTAAAAAATCTAAAGCAGAATAAAATATTTTCATTGACTAGTGTTTTCTGTGCTTTGGCATACAGGTTGGTACAGTTAATTATATGCCACCAGAAGCAATCAAAGATATGTCTTCCTCAAGAGAGAATGGGAAATCCAAGTCAAAGGTATTGTGAAGGTTATTTAGATCCCATTTATCTGGCATCAGAAGGGAATGGACTATTCTCTGATTAAACCTAACAGATAACTGAAAGTTGCTTAAGTTCTAAAACTTTTTAGGCATTTTAGAGACCTTGCTTTCTTTGGCAAATGGTCATGGGATTCAGTTTTACAGTTATTGATTTGAGACTGTTCTTTTAATATTGTGCTTTTAATACGGGATGTCTCAACAATGTGCTCTAACAAAAAACGTACCCAGGGTATTTTTTTTCAGTTTCAAAATGAAAGGTAGAAATTAAGACTAAATTAGCTCAGAGTTAAGCACATTAAAATGATCTTTGAAGTCTTTTGTTTCCTCTTTGGTTCTTACATTTTATCTCTTACCATTTATTCATTTGTGAATTCTACATTTCCAAGTACAATTCTAATAGGCAGTTTTTTCCCAGCCTGCCACAGCTACTTTCCCACTTGCCTTATTTTACCACCTCAGTGAACTTTGTGTTAGCCTCATTGGTGTCTCTTCTTGGGCTCATTTTGCTTGCCTGGATGCCTCTGGCTCTCAAGCTAATCCTTCGTTGCTCTATAGCAGTGTAACCAAGTGCATGCAAGCATTACATTGTTGTCCAGCGACCTGCATTCAATAATAGACCTGCTTCTTTGTTAACAACCATCTTTATGAATTAACTTGCCTGGTTACTTCATCTATAAATTCAGCTTATAAACAGTACCTGTTTTAAAGGTGAGGATTAAATGATAAAGAATATAAATCACTTAATACATTGTCTAGCCCTAAATAATTGCTTGATAAATATGTGCTTATTTACTAATTATATTTTCCTTCCTAGAAAATTGTGGCTTCTAAATTTCTTCTCAAATAACTGACATAACATTATGTCAAATAGTCTCTTATAAAATTCTTTTTATTATTTGTTTAGCTTCCCCTTTTCTTTTAATACTTAGATTTGTTGTCTTTTTTCTTTTTCTTGGTTAGACTTTCCAAGGTTTTGTTAATTTTAAAGAACCAAGTCTTCATTTATTAATTCTATTTTCATTTGCTCTCTAATTTCTGCTTTTATCTTTATTAATTGTATTTCCTTTAGGTTTCTTTTTTTTCTAGTTTCTGGATTTAGATAATTGCCAATTTAATTTTTGTATTCTTTCTTAATGAAAACATTAAAACTGAATTTTACTGAGTTTTACTTTAACTTCTACTTCCACTTTTTTGTAGTATTAATTTTCATTAATTCTAAAGTTTTCAGTTGCAGTTTTAAAATACTTTGAAATAAGATTTATTTTGAATTGCTTGTAGAGTTCAGATTTTTTCAGTTTTCAACTCAGTGCTTTAATATTATGGGTAAATCTCCATTCGATGTAATCACCTGCTAAACAGTGGCCTTAATGATTCTGAACAGAAGACAAATTTTTTATCCCACCAGGTGAGATAATCCCTGCTTGTGAAAAGCTCAAACCCTTCCCAGTTTAGCTCTGTTTGCAAATTACTTTCCAATGAACATCTGTTGGCTATTTGGAGTTTCTATTCTGAGGTCTATTGGGCACATTCACTATTTCCCTCTGCTTTCTGTTTCAAATGCCTCTACTATACACGACTTGTGGCTGTTGGTAGTTTGTGTCCCTTCGTATTCTGGGGTTTTGGGGTATGGCTTTTCACTTTGTTTTGTTGTAAATCTTCTCCATATGTCTATGGTTTTGCTACAGGCTTCTCTGTC